AGGAGATAGTAACAACGACAGAGAAGCCGAAAAAAATATTAACTCTCGAGGAAGAGCCCGAAGTGTTTCATTACGAGTCAAGTACAGAGGACGATGATGACAATAATAAAATATGATTAATGGGAATAAACTGTAAATCCGATTGTATCTATAGATGATTCCGACGAAGTACAGTCGATCGTCCTTGAGAAGAAGTCTACCTCGGAAGAGGAATTGATCGTGATGAAAGAGACCGAAGAGGAAACTAATGCTTCCTTAAAGGAGCCCATAATCAACGATATCCCGCTTAAATGGAGAACCGAATCGAATGACGAGACAACGGAAGAAGAAGAGGATTATAACGAAAGGTTGGTTGATTGAAAGATTTCGTTAGGAGAAAAAAAATTAAAAATTCAAAAATGCTTACTTTTAGAGATAGATTTCTACCTCGACAGAAATTGGAGCCAGCTATATTTTTGAAAGATCTAAAAACAGAGAACGTAAGAGAGAAATCAAATGCTATATTATTACGATAGCTATACATAGAGATTCAAGATCGTTCGATTCTTCTTTTTTTTTTTTTTTGTTTTTAATAATCTTCGATTCGTATACGTATATATATATATATATATAAATTCAGGAATTCAACGAGAAAAAATCAAATGACACGATTAAGGAAGTGGCCGACGTGATAGTGGACGAGAATTGGAACAGTTATAAGGAACGGAGTCTTCGAGTTATCAAGGGCATGTATCTAGCAATCGATCTAGCAATTGATTTTGTGGATAAATTAGAATTATTCACGAGAATCACTTTCAGATTTCATAAAAATTGAAGAACCCGTAGCCGATAAGTCCGATAATGACGTAATTTTCTTTCAAATTCGTTCTTTAATCGCAAAAGTTAAGTTCACCAAGAATTTTGAATTACGAATTTCCTTCCTCGTTTTCGCAGGAATAATCGAGAAGGATACGATAATCATCGAAATCATAAACATGAATTTGTACCTGGGATCTTCTGTTATGCAGAATCCTGATTACGAACTACTTTACGTCGAGTATTGCTTCTTGGGTTATTGTGGCGCTGATATGGAAACGATTTCGGTGAGAAAACCAGCCTATCCGGGTCAATTGTTCGAATTTAATTTTAAGAAAGGTAAATTCCTTATTCTTTTATTTTGAAAAAAAAAAAAAAAGAAAAGAAAGAAAGAAAAATTGGAACAAATATTGTTCGCAGTGTTTCGAATAGACGAGGAAAAGCATTCGGTGCAAAGTAATATCTTACGCGCGATGTTGGCCAGTACCACTAATCCTATTATAAGATTCATTGTCGTTTGTGAACCACTTCCCGAAGAAACAGATATGAAAGAGTGTGTGGAAATAGGGTAAGATAAGTGAAGAAATTCATCAATTTCATCCGTATTTAAATAAAATATATCATTCGAAGAAATGATTATAGATACGCTAATTTTAATATAAGAGATTATGCATTAGGAGAGGCTAAAAAATATAACTCGCTTCCGATCTATGATATAGAGGAACACGTAGAAATTGGTATCTTAAAGGTAGCGTAAACTGGTCAATTACAGATTACAAGTATTCTATATTAGTTAAATAATTTTTATCATTTTTTTTTCTCTCCTCCGTGTTTCTTAATTCTTAATCTCACTAATTCTCTTATTTTGTGTTTTATTTAATCTTAATGTGTTTGTAGATCTCTATATTAGGTCTCGATGCGATACGCCAACGACTAGCAAAACGTGAATCGATCATAATATAAAATTCGTTGATATATCTGTGTATCTTCTACGTGTATGATACGTGTAGAAAAAAAAGAAAAAAAATGTGATTCCTATTGAAAATTAAAAATTTGTAAACATCTGACTGAAAAAAAAAAAGAGTGAAGTGATGTAATCTCTCATGAATGTAAAAATACCGTGATTAAAAATTACACAGTACAAAAACGCCGTGTTTATTAGAAGCTACTTACATCATACATAATACAAAGTATTCTACATTTCTTTTTTCTTTTTTGTATACGTGTTACTATATTGCAATATTGTTTTCGTACAAATCATTATCTACGTCGATAGATCGATCTTTAATTTTTTTTTTTCGGTTTTTTTTTTTTTTTTTTTTAATCCCCTCTAGTTCGTAGTTCCATCTCTCGAATTCCAACAGTTTTTTTTCTTCTTGTTTCATTCAAGTATTCCGCGTCATACGGATTTCAGGAGGCAATTATTCCCTAACTTTTCGTCTTGTTATGCTTCAGTGCCGCATTCTCAGTCGTGTTTGCGCCTTCTTTCAAACTGGACAATTGCGTTTTACGAAAAATATCGTTGAAAACACTCGTGGCTGCCTGTAAATCCTTGCAATCCTTGGGTTGTCGGGCGACGGACCAAACCCCTGCTATAGTGTCGATACCTTGACAAACTCTGCAGGCACCTAAACGATTATTTTTATCGATAATTTGCATATTCGTGAATTCTGAATTTCGAAAAGTATTCTACTTATTATCGATTGATTATTGAAAAAAAAAAAAAAAAAAGAGAGAGAGAAAGAGAGAATTTAATAAAAATTTTAAATAGTGAAGGATGTATCATCGCATGATATAGCATTTGATATATCATTGTGAAAAGTTAGAAATTGAATAAGTTCCCGCGTGGAAAAAATATAAAAAGAAGCGAGCTACATACCGACAAACACAGCAATAGAATTGGTATAATTATGGGTGGCGATGAGGGTGAATGGCGAGCCACGTTTGAATGGGACGTGACCAGAGACGTTCCACGTTTCATTCAACAAACTTTCTTGTAAACGGGATGACGTGAAGTTGGAAAGTGTCACGATTATAGTACGATTCACGACCCTCATATCCAGTTTCACTCCGGCCTGAGTTGTTGACCAGGACCCTGACAAACGGCAAGGTAAGCCTAAAAATATCGCTCGTTTCACATATCAGGGACAGGCGAGCTTCAAGCCGGCCTACTATCGTTCACCGAGAAACATTTATTTTCCACGCGACGCGCCTCGTTTACTCCTCCGCGTTTACCTTACCTTCTTTGTTCTTGTTGTTCTTCCACCGATCGTCCTTCAGATCCTCCAACTCCTCCATTATGGTATCAAGTATTTCATTGGCAACTTGTTTCGTGTCCCTGACAGCGCCAGTAATATTCGTATGATCACGGTCCACATTTTCCTTTCCGTTTGAAATATTCTGATTCTGATTCTGATTCTGATTCTGAAGATGCCTTTGCCCCCCCTCCTTCATATTGTTCCTGTTCTTCTTCGAAAGGAACGATTGATACTCCAACCCTCTGAAATTATTATTATTATTATCCCCGTAACCAGTCGACTCTTCGTACGGTTTCTTCCTTATGTAATTAATCATGTCCAACGTGCGATCGTTGGAGTAAGGCAACATTTGGCGATTATTGTTTTCGTTCACGTTCGCATTCTCCTTATTTTGACCCCCGTTAACGTTGATCCCAAGGGATTCAAGAATCTTGCCCAAAGGTTGATCCATGGCGTTGGGAAGATTGACAGGTGGACGATTGTAATAAGTTGGTTGCAACGCGTAACTGTTCTCCATATCTTTCTCTTGATCCTCTATTCGATTTTCCTGCTGGGTCTCTTGATTGTTGTAAAATTGGATCGGGAAGTAATTGTCCGCGTTTGGAATTCTCATATTTTCAGGCTGGTTCATTATATTGCTCTGATCGAAATTCCCCCCTCCTAACGAGTTGCTATCGATCTGTTGATAATTGTTCAAATATTGCGGCTGGATCAACGGCTCGATCGCCCCGTTCACGTTCAAATTTTGGGGCGCGTTGGTGCTCAAACTTTGAAACTGATTCTCGCCAGGGATTTCGTATTGATTGTTCGAGTATTCGAATTGTTCTTGACTCTGGGGCTCGACGACAGGCTGTCGAACACCACCGTCTGACTTGTTCGGATCGAAGGTCTCGTAATTGTTGGACAACTCGGAAACGTTGTTCCCTTCGAACACTTGCGGATCTTCCGGAACTTCCGCCGGAACGTTCGCAGGATACGAGGTGTCAAAATTTTGATTTCGATAGTCCAAAAGTCCATAATTGGTCGCGTAATTGAACGTGGCCTCATCCGGTCCGAGTACTCGAGAATTCCGATTTAATGTCGCGATACGGTCATTTGTCGGATAGTTCTGAAAATTATTAAGAGAATTGACATTGTCGTTCTTGAAATCACGATACTTTCTACGAGTAGTATCGTAATCCGGATAATACGGTTGCAAGTTTCTATCGAACGGACGGCTGCAGTCACGATACGACGTGAAATTTAAGGTCTGTCGTGTTAATCGATCGTAAGGATTTCTCGAGTCGATCAGTTGCGGCAAAATTTTATTCGCGTCCTGGAGAACTTCGTCGTCGCTATAGTAATCCGAATACTCGACCCCTTGGTCCCCTGATTTCTTTTTCCACGGATTCTTGGTCGTGGTCCGCATCAAACGTTCGATCATCTTTTCGCTTTCGTGCAATCTCTCGTGATTTCGCATATCTAATGGAAAAATGGATTCGGTCGTCTCGATATTTGGGGACGAGGTGAAATCAACGTAATCGCTGTCCTCTACGTGAACAGCGGTGACTTCGTCCCTCGATTCTGAGATGGACGTGTTTTCGCGTGATCTATCATCGACATTATCTGGACTACGTTTAATCGTAGTAATCACCCTTCGCTTTGATCGCTTTGTTAACGTGTTAATGTCCCCTTTGCTGTCCAACGTTCTCTGAGTAAAGATACATTTTACATACGTTTATCCACATGCGTAGTAAATATTTACCAGTTGGGGAGGAATAGAAAATTAGTGAGAATTGCAGAACGAAGCTTACCTACCTTAGGGGATCCCCTCTTTATCTGAGTAGGTTGTTTCATGTATCTTCTATGATGCCTGCAAATCAAAATATACATACCACGTGTATACGATAATCTTCTCTTCTCCCAGAGAGAGAGAGAGAGAGAGAGAGAGAGAGACAGAGAGGGGAGTAGGACGTTTATATAATTTTTAAAAACCATTCGCTTCCATTACCTTTTTTTCTTCTTCTTCTTTCGCCCCTTGTGCCTCAACCCCTTTCGATTCTTTTGTCTTCGGTCGCCTTCGAGCCACCACCGTTACCCTTTGTCATCGGTATCTTCACCGTGGCCTGAAGATGCCCCGGGGGCGACACGCGCGAAAGTTTCCTTATCGTCTCTTGCACCTTGGGGGATTTGAGCGCGTCCTTGGCCATTTTGTGCGCCAATCCACCAGTCTCGATATCCGATCTAGGAATTCTGTAATCCACGGGATCAGACACGATGGCATGGCGCATCCTCAAATTCTGCCCGCTCGTGTATCGATTGTTCTTGTTGCTCAATTGCCTTTTCCGTAGCACGGGGCTCGTGTCTTCATCTTGAATCGATTTCTCGTTCTCTTTCAGAAACGTAACGGTCCGTCGATGCGGCACACCGGCCGCCCCTTTCTTCTCCTCTGACGGTACGAACGATAATTTTTCGGCATTGGTTTCGACGCAAACGGGGATTAGTAGCGGAACGATCATGGTCAACCTGTGTTTTATTTTTTCTTTTTCTCGTTAAAGGTAAAAAATTATTTGCGCCAACGTGCCGTTTTCGCCTACCCCTCGCAAGTATTTCGCAAACGAACGAAATGGAAAATAAATACAATTGATTTTATTGGCGATATTCGATGATATATACCTGAATAAAGTTAGCAGCATTCCTCCACGAGGTAGATCGATCGAGAAATTGGTGCTGGTGCCATTGAATCGGCGTACTCGCAAGATGGGACGTTTTTAAGCTCGTACTTCACCGCGTGGAATCATGTCACTTCGTTCCTTTCCAATTTCAACTTTTCTTTCCGTGTCAACTTTTCCCGGCAATATCCTCGATAAAAATGTAATAAAAATGGCTGTTCACGCTCAATTCCTTCGACACGTTGACATATCCCCGGGAAAGGTTCGCAGAAAGCGCTCGCGCCACTTTCGATGCTCGTCTTTTCTCGGCGACCAACTTTTGTCATCTTACATCCGTCCTATAGAATTCGCCTTCACGCCGTAGAGGGATCTAAATACGCGGATCGTTCGTATCCCTCCACCCTCCTCCCCCCTTCCTCCCCCAAATCTAGGATCCATCCCTCGAGGAAAGACCCCACTCGATTCGATCCATTTCGAATGGCACACGCGTGTATCGAAATCTACAAGAATGTATATGCGTGTGTACATGTATATATATATATATATATATGTGTGTATATGCGTGTGGGTACAAGCGTAGCTCTCGAACAGAGCCGATCAAAGCGACTTGGAGGATGGCCAAGTACACGCGTCGGCCTCAATTAGTCAGATATTACGTATGAATGTCGTACACGCGGCTACTTTGCATTTAATAACACGGAAATGAACTCAACTTATAGCAAAATCTAGTCTTTCGATGCTTCTCACATACTTCGAAATAATAATCGGCTCGATGATCGAAGGAAGCGACGTGTATGTGCGATGACACTTTAAATCGACGCTTAATGGAGCACGTGTGATATTTAATTTCTTTTCTCGGTGTTAATTTTTGGAGAAAAGATATAATTAAATAATTAATTAAAAGGAAATAACTCTCGCACGTTTCGCTTTCCAAAATTATTATTTCGGGAGAAATAACGATGCTCCGTACGTACGATAATATCGAGGCTGGATGATAATCGTGACTTCTCTCTCAAGCAGTAAATGACACGCAAAGCGTTGGATCGAGGAAAAACGGGAGGTAACGGGGCATATCTGGTCGGTCGTAAATGTGCATCGACAGCGTGTGCGGTGCACGTATTAAAACCAAGTCGAGTGCACAAATAGACCTCGACCAACGATCCGTCCAAGCACCATCGGCGCCGGACAGAGTGACTGTTTGCTGTTAGCGGCGAAAAAAGACGAGTGGAGAGGAGAGGCCCGACTGTCGCAGAAATTATGGTACGACGAATGCACAACGTTTTAGAGAAAAGGCTGGAGACACGGTAAGATAGGCGTCGATTATTATTAGAACCAGCTAGAAACGAACAACCGATCCTCGTTCGTCTGCTGCCGATTATCGTCTACCTCTATCCAACTCGGTGAACATGAAGATAACTCGGTTCTGCTTCTACGAATTTTATCAGAGGGGGAGTTGGATTTCTCAGCGACGAGTTTATTTTTGATCGGACGAATTTGATCGAAGAATTAATACAACCGTAATCGATTTATTATCTAATCGTTGAATTTTTGGGAAAAGAGGCGCTCGGGAAGAGAATGTAAAAATTTGCGCGTCGAAAGAACGAGAAATAGGAATGTCAATGCCGTGCATCGAATGCCGGGCATACTACGAGGCAATCGTCGTTGCAAAACAATTCTATTTACGAAGAGTGGGAAAGAGTTTGGAATTGGGTGCAAATCAGTCGCATTTATACCACACCGCGGAACCATGAAATTGCGATGATGGAACGAATCGGGCGATTTATGCTCGTTGACGAACAGGCTTATATTTTTAAATCGATCGATTTAAATTGTGCAATCGTGTATTTCTAATTATTTGATCGAAGCTTGGCGCGCGTACAACCGCGACGAAACGAAAATCGGAACGCAAACCGATAAGAAATTCATTTCCCTCGAAATGAATAACGACGAGATAACGACGATTATTCCTCGTTTCGTATATAACAGTAATAATTCACAATTGTGTAACGATCCTCTCTCGTTAATTACTCGAGAGAACCCTTGGCTCGGGTACAGGTACACCGAAGAGGAATACCAAAGGTCGCCATTTCAACAAACGAATGCTTTTCCCATTGTATATTATTAGCAGAATCTTAAATTCATTCTCAACCTTCTTCTAAAATTATAATCGAAAGGTTACCGGATTCTTCCACCTTCTTTACCCTTGAATCGCGAAAGCCGTTTCCCTCGAATCGGCGCATGGAACAACAGGTGCGTCGTCCTATTCTTCCTCCCCCCAACGATAAGATCAACGATCACCACGATGACGAGGGGAACGTTGCCGATGCACAATGTTAGTCTCGAGAATGATAGATGGAAACGAAAGAAAGGAAAAAAAAAAAGAAAAAGAAGTGGTCGAACGATGAAAAGGAAAAAGAAGAAGAAGAAGAGGAAGAAGAAGAAGAAGAGGCAGAAGAGAAGCGTGGAGGGTGTTGGGACGCCTTGCGGCTGGCATTGGTAGCAGTCTCGAGATAGCCGCCGGCTGGCTTCCTCACCGCCTCGGGGGATTTATTCGGGGATTCCGCAAAGCGCAAAGTGGTGGAAACGATATATCCAGTGATCCCAATATCCGCGATATTAAAGCGCCCAACCTGATCGATCGATCGAGCAACGCAAGGGATCCGCCGCGGTTCTTTCCTCCTCTCGAATTTCGAGGTGGACGACCAACTCTGTGTACGTGTTTGGCCGTTTCGAGGTGAGTCCGTCCAACATTTTCACCAGCGCTTATTTTTCCTACGCACGCACCTTCCTTCTTTCCTCTTCCGTTCTTTCGTGTCAGCTCGTCGTCGTGCTATTTTCGTGAGTGTTGTGCAAGTGTCGATCTCGCGTGTTGGCTTCCACCTCTAACGTTCGAAACGAACCCCGAATTCAGCCACCGAGTTTTTCAAGTTTTTCTCTGACGGACGAAAGGTTGGTGTCTCTCCTTTTTTTTCCCCCCTCGTCAGATAGATTTCCGTTCTCTCTGGAAGGCCCGGCCGGCCTTGGACGGTGCATTTTTCTTCTTCACCGATTATTTCGGGAAGCGTCGTAGACGTAGTTCGCGTAGGTGATCGAGAAACGCGACGTCAGTGATGTGCAGTTGAAAAAAATAAAAGCCTCTACGTGCGAATCGGGGATCGGTACGTTGTGAAATTTGCACTAACTGATCTTTGGATCGTCGGATCGGACGATATCTGTTCTTTGGAGTTGACGTTGTAAAATATAATCATCGTTTGCATCTTCGAACGGGGAGTAATATTTTTTTAATCGCACATTTCGATGAATAGAAGAATGGAAGATTGTACGAAGGGAAGTTGTGAATTTTGTCCAGGAAAAAATTAATTTCGATTCTTCCCTCGTGGGGGATAGAGACGAGAAAGAAATGGATTATGAAATTTTACGCGTAAAATGAATTTCATCTTATCGTCGACGAGCTGTCGCCTCGATGACAGATATGAAATGCTGTCAACCAACCATGCGGAAGCAGGTGTAGACAGGGTGTAACAAATCTTCTACTGATTATCGCGGAAACTTTGATGATTAATAGCCTTGTCACGCTCGAATAACTGATTGTTTTCTCGAAATATCCTGCGAAAAAAGCGAATAATCGTGGATTCATCCTTTACTTAATCGTATCCTCATTTTCTAATCGACGAACAATTATTTAAAATCGAGAAACAATCGTTTGAACGAATTGTTTCGAGTTTTATTTATTTATTTCTTTTTCTTTTTTAAATCTTAAATCTTTCGAAACAGGAGAGAAAATTATGTCACGACTAGGAGCCAAAACGTGGCAATCTTCTTGGCAGGATAATGACACCGTTACGATTCTGATCCGCGTCGTGAAATCCATCGATGAAACGAAATTTCGTGTTACATGCCCAAGGTGTCTCGTAAAATAACTGCGTTATTTCTCTGGCACGGTGATCCACGAATGATCCATGAACCGCGATCCAGTAGTAGAATGAAGGCCAAGTTTTTAGCTTTGCGGAAAGATGACTAAACGTGTGCGAGGTAGGGAGCTCAAGGTGCGACTCGAAATATCTGGCTACGTTATAGCTTGTCGAGGTACAACAAGTTGCTGCAGCACGTTGCAATTTGCTTAAGTATTCGCAAATCGATATGTTCAAATGATATATATATGGATATTGATTTAATTTCAATTTCTTTTCCCTTCATCAAATTAATCGTAGAATTCGATGATTGATTTTTTTATTCTATTATATTCCATGCAGAGTATCGATTGTAAAATACGCGGGTTTCCTCCTCTGAACTATTTCAAGTTCTAAAAAAAGAACTTTCGATCTGGTATATACGATAGTATCGATTTAATTGGATTAGCAGAACAAGTTTATTTTCATTTGATGACACCAAAGACGATGGATTGCTGCTCCTCGAGATGGCGTAATGTTTACTTCTTCTTCGTCTCTCCCTTGAAAATTACTATTATGATTGTTAAA